GAACATGCTGCCCAGTTTTAAGACAACTTAGCAACACGAAGACTGAGAATAAACCTCAACCAAGAGTTACTGGAATCGCTAATGAACTCAAAAGCACTATTACATTTAAAATGAATTCCTAGCATTCAAATTATTCACCACTATTAGTTTTTAAGTGCACTTCATAACTTTCAATGGCCAGTGAAGAGTTTTGCCATCACACCATTGCTATCAACATGCTCACAGCACACTACTTGGATGTTTGACATTAAAACAGCTTCAGAGACAGCACACTGGGATACCAAGAGGTGTTTTTACAATTAGCGATGCACTGATCCAATATTGGTATCGGATACTGGCCCAAAAACTGGCAAATTTGCGGGATCTAATATCGGTGTCCAAATATCGGTTCAGCTGATATCCTGATTTGGCATATATATTGACGTAATAAGACTAATAAATTATAGTAATAATGTTTGAACTTTTATTTACACAAAATTGTTCTGTAGTTACTTAAGAGATAAATAACAGCTGCAGAACACATTTGGATCAGTTTTGACTTATTTTATTTTTGTTTTAAGGAAATAAATGCTGTTTTCATTCTCTTCAGTGGTATTGGTTGATATCAGATATTGGCAGATTCTTATGACCATAGTATCAAAATCGGTATTGGAAGTTAAAAACTGAATCAGCGCTTCTCTATTTACAATACCACCTACTGGGGCATGACAACTCTGACTTTACTGCATGAAAACAAACGGCCGCAGCCCCTTTATACGAACAGCTCAAGTTCATACATTTATTTTTAGCTGCGTTCTTGAAGTAGTCCTGAGACAATGGCGCGTCATCAGAAATGGCTGCACTCCTGGAGAAAAGCCTCGCCAACGTCTGCGCTCCCAGATAGTCGTAGCTGCCAATATTATTTACCCCCTGCATTCATATCTGCGTTGGGTATTGTTCCGAACACAACAATATGAAAAGCTGATGAAGCCTCTGTCATCACAGCCTCCTTCTGTGTTGGTCGGGTCTGCGGAGATGCCAGTACAGCTCCCATCAGCCCATTGTTTCTCGCCTCCGGTTTAATCAGACACACAGCGCTTGGGACCGTACTCTCGCTCTCGTCACTGTTAGCTTGCATTCACTGGTGTATTCTTACGTATCGTGCTGAGCTAGCAAAATTACACAGCTTTGATAAAGGGGTTTTCTTTTCACGTTTCACAAAGACTTGTCCTCCAGATTTAGCACTAGTAAACTGCATAGTAGTGTTGCATAATATATTGTAATCAACATGACTGAAAAAACAACAACATATCTTTTTATAGAATATTTTAGCTGTACTTACATAGTCCAAAATGCTATTCTTTTTTTGTTTTGTTTTGTTTTCATTTTATTTAATTATTTTAGTATTCATGGGTGAAGATTTCATTTGGAATACAATAAACATTAGATATATTGTATTTCACAACAATGTCACAGCAAGAGCACACATGGAGGAAGTTACTATCATCAGCTACGCCATCCCGCCCCAAACTGGTGAACACAGAATTGATTTTAATAATATTTTAGTGAGAGTTTTTGCTGCATTTTCCCAAAAGGCAGATAATTTAGGGCATTCCCAAACTAAATGAATAAATAATTCTACTGCATTACTACTGCAGAGTGTGCATTCGGGTGAAGGAAGTGCTGGTATTTTGAATAACATGCGGCGGGGTAAATTAAGTCCTATGAATAGTGTTGAAATGAATGGTTTGGTGATTAAGATTACGAGAAGAAAGCTGTATATTTTGCCATATAGTTTCCCTGTTCACTTTGGAACAGTCAAAAGCAGCTTCCCACTGCTTGACAACTTGCACAGAGTATGAGAACTGTCTCTAAAGAAGAATGTATTCTAGATCCACTCTTTTTGGGTTATATGTAGGTTGATGAGCTGAATGAGCAATAGGACGGGTCCCCCATGGCACTCCATATGTGCGCATTGCTATTCGTAATTGAAGGTAAAAGAAAAATGATGTTGGGTAAATTATATTTCTTCTGCAAATCTTGGAAACTTTGGAGGCCAGAGGAGTTGAATATATATCATCCAGGGTATGTACATTTCTACTCCAAGGAGGAAATGAGACAGTCTTCTATTTTCAGACTGTAATTTTGAAATATTGGAGAATGTGAAAACCATTTATTATAAAGTTTACAGTGCTTGTTCAAATAGTTCCAAACTCAGATTATTTCAGTTACAGTGGATCCATATATTTTGTGGATTTGCTGGGAGATGTTGCAATATATAATATCTTGAAGGGTAAGGGGTAATATTATATTTTCCTCTAAAAGTTTCCAAGAAGCGGACAGGGCAAGGTTCAACCGCAGAGATAAAGGCCGAAGCATGAATGAACAATGGTACCATTCAATATTTGGGACACCAAACCTTCCTTCACTTTTAGGCTTTTGTAATACATATCATTTAACCCTGTGTTTATTTGACTTCCTGATAAATGTAGTTGTAGATGTAATTTCTCCCAGTTTTCCTTAGTAGGGGAAAGCAGAATCATTGAGCTTATAAAGGTAACTCGAGGAAGAATAATAATTTTAATGGCTGAGATACATGCAGTGAAGACTAGTGGAAGAAAAGAAAAAAGAATAGTGGCAGAGGGCATAAATGTGAACTTTCTTGGCAAGCCTGTTTTAATTATGTTACAATTGGAACAGTTTATAATTTCTGTTGCTTGGGATCTAGACTACACTTCTTCAATACTTAACAAAGATGTAAGTCAGATCACCGGTGAGTCTGTTTTCAGACAATCTGATTGTACAATCATGTTTGACCACAGTGGAGGAAGTGGGGACCAGACTGATATTAATCTGTATAAAAAAGGAGAGATGTCATTCGGCATTTGTCAGGCAGCCATTTCTGTAATGGATGGATAGATATTTAAAGTGCACCACTGGTATATCTGGTAGAGAAATGTCCTGAGGTGAATTTAAAGGAAGAAGTGCAGATTTTCCCCAGTATACTTTACAACCTGAGATCAGACTGGATGTATTGTATACAATGAGGAGGTGAGGAAGGTACTGTGAGACATTATCTATATAAAGTAATATGTGATCTGTGTAAAGGGATATAAAGTAAGAAGTGTAAAGATAGCCATGGGTTTGTGACCAACTGCCTGTGTAACAGGTTCCAGGAGAAGTGCTAACAGCAAAGGTGACAAAGAGTATCCTTGACACGAGCTGCAAGCTACATAAAAAGGTTTAGAGAAAGTATTCCCCATGAGAACCATAGCTGTTGGGCTCGTATGCAAAACTTTGAGATGAATTAAGATCCAAAACCAACATGATGGAGAACAGTCCAGTTCCACTGAAGGCATTTAGAAGCCTTTTCTGGGCCCAATAAAATGATAGCAGACTCTGAGTGTGTTCAGTAATATGTAGAATGTGGCGCCTGTTGTCAGAGGCTAGGCGAGTTATTTCGTCTTCTCTCAAATGTTAATGCCCATAGAATTTTTACTATCTGCACTCTGAACAAAATCCTATTTTTAAACATAAATCACAAATCTATCGCAATACTTGTCATAAAAATCACTATTTCATTTTTTTCCAATAATGTGTAGGTCTAGTGCATATTGTATCTCAAATAACTGACAGACTCAAAGTTGTTATTTGACAAGTTTAGAAGTAGTTTGAAGAATAGGTACTTGTGGGCAAGAGTCATGTAGCTGCTGTACCATTACATTCACTATGTCTATTTTTTGTATCACTGCATCTGTCTGTAATTGATTATTTGATTTGCTTTTCTCATCATGACTTCTTGTTTGCACAGACTAGTTAAAAAGTTATTACCATTGTGTTTAATTGACACATATTTACAAAATTGTTATCGTGTTAGGACTGATCGCTCTTTTTAGTGTTTCATTCACCCCTCTCTCACCATCACTGTGGTCTTGGAATTTTATATATTTATGCAGAAAAACACAGGTTTATTTAAAAAAACAATGTGACCTAGAATTGTTGAATGAAAATAAAAGGTTTAATGAGCTTATAGACTTCACAATAATAGGCTGTATGAGCTGATCTCAGAACCCTTTAGTCTATTTGGAAGCATAAAACCATCAAATTAACTTCATAATATCATATTTGCTTTGCAGATATTTTGAATCCTATATTACAGTTATATAAAGTGCAGTTGGTACATATCCTTTATATATGGGTTTACAGCAGGTTATAACAGGCTGGGAAATCAATAGGAACTCCCATATTTAGTTTGATAAGATGCTTTATTAGATCTCTCTCCTTCTTTGTGATGTCACATGGAGGTGCTGTATGCTCAAAACCCATCTCCTCCAAGACTCATTGTACAAAAACCTGCACAGATAACCATAAGCTACACCAATTATCTATACATTTATTGTTTATTCACATTTGACATTTCACAAAGTTCTTTCTGTAGGTGCTTCATGCTTTGTATCTTATATTGGATTAAACCTACCTTTTTTTTCAAATGATCATCCACACATATTGATTTTTTTTATGTTTGTTTGTTTTTTTGTATTACACAAATACTCAGTCATTCAATTTTCTCTCAGGGGCTACATTTAAAATAGTTGTTTTACAGTATGATAATGATTCAGTCTCCGTAGTTCATTGTTACTCAAAAAAGAAAGTGTTGTGTACCTTTTTTTTTCCATCAAAATATTATTACCAGTATGGTAACTGAACATTATTTAAACAATCAAAATGATTAACTTTAAATCCACATAAAATTATTCAGTGGAAAATGGGACACAATTAGTATATTAATTAGTGTAAACATTTCATTTTTTGAGTGCAGCATCATTTTAGTTGAGATATGAGAAAACCTTTGCACTGATATCTGGCTTCATTTCAGATTTGGAGTGCTCCGTATCTTGTCCTCTCGTACTCATTCTGTGTCTGAGTTTCTCCTCCCTCTCAAACCACTCCATTGGCTCACACCCTTTCTCCTATCATCATATAATACGTCTTTTTGAAACCTGTCCGTGTGACCCCTGCAGCGGGTTCCACTTTCTTGAACCCGGATGGAGACTCTGGGACGGAGGCGGACAGCGAGCCTCAGCTGGCCTATTACACCGACCCCAACCGCAGCCGCCGCCGCAGTCGAGGTATGAGAAATGGTAACGCCAACAGCGTGTGGGGCTCCGGGGGTAAGGAGTACTATTACTACACAGTACTACATATACTGCAGTGTCCGTCGTGTCATCTCCTCCACACCGCATGACCTCCGCAGTGCATAACAGAGATGGATGAGCCCCGTCTTGTTGGTGGATACACTCATCAGATACTTGTACAGTTTGTGGTGGTTTGTTGAATGTAGTTGTACTGGAGCATTGATGTGCATGAGACAGTGCATCTGCTTATGGACAGAAAACATCAGATGCACACAGTGTGATCATCATATGCACTTACATTGCACTGACATGAACAAGTCTGTATGTGAAATAATATTACCAGAGGTGGAAAGGACCTGAATGTTATACTAATATATTATGTTTATTTTCACAGTACATTTTCTAAGTGGTAGTCAATATCTAAAGCATATATCAATCAACTTTAATAAAATAGGAAGTAGCTTTGCAAGAAGCTGCAGCAGTTCTTACAGCAGCCCAGCATTTACTATTTAACACAAAATAAATGTGACTAGCTCTTAGGTCTTTTTAACCTAAAGGCAAAATGAGTTGTCATAGTAACGGTACAAATGGTTCTGACAGGATCAGGCAGGTAGCACTAATTCTTCTGCTATCCTAGTTGCACTACTTAAATATGGACTGTGTAACTTTTCTTTTTCTGGTGGAAGGCCTGCCACCTGCTCATCTCCATGGTGATGTCTGGAAAGTTCCCCAGTATGGCATTAAACATATCTCCACCGGGTCAAGTTGCTGGTCAGAGCTGCGTAATCACAGGAACCAGATCACACATTTTCAAGAATTTTGAGTTCTAGCAATAAACAGAATTATTATTTGTATTGTTAAAAAAATATATAAAATATCAAAAATATAAAATAAATAAAGATATTAAAAAATAATAAGATAAATAAAGATATAAAGAATACAAATTATACAAAAACAGCTGTTTGTAAATTATTACAAACAATAAAAAATAGACTAGACAGGAAGAAATAGAGGAAATTCTTTATTATTATTATTATTTTATTTTTATTTATTTATTTTTTCTTGAATTTTTGTTGTGTGTGACTTTTGGCTTGTGTTTGACTTTTAATTAACTAAATACTTGCACAAATGGTTAATGTCATACTGTGGAATATGCCAGGCATTGCAGAAACATCACCGTGGAGACGAGGGAATGGTGGACCTCTGACCTGAAAAGCTACAAAGTGCACCTTTAATTATGTAACTGAATAGAAAGTTGTATTGATAGCTGTAGTATTATAACAAAACACAGTCACTTTACTTTATTTAGGTGACTTCTTCCACCTCTGAAACATCACACACCAATATTATTTCCCCGACAATCCCAATGCAAATGTTGTCAAAGTGGAGCTGCTTCTCTCTGTCCGCATGCTTCGTCTCTGATGCGGTGTACGGTTTGGAGGCGGGGTTAAAAGTGGCAATGATAAAGACGGGATGGCCTCAAAATAATCGCTCCTGTCACAAAGCGTTAGGCGCTCCTGTCGACGCCTCCGAGCCAATTATTCTGTCGTCAGGTGCACAGGTGCGGCAAACAGACCCGCGCCTCCCGAAGCAACACCTTTAATTAGAGCAGTGTGTAAGAATAGCTGCGTGCAACTGTGGCCTGGCTCTGGCTTTTAGATCTAGCAAGCAAAAGAGCCACAAGGCAGGGAGGAATAAATGATGGAAAAATAAATGCTGTGAGGTCAGAATCTGTTTTGTTGACATAATAAATAAATATTAACACGTGAATAACAATTGTAGTAATCGTCAGAATATGTATGTGTGTTACCGTTATTGTAGTGTGTTTAGACTCCAGGGCTTGGATACAGATTTGTTTTTGTTTTTTTACATTGTTCTAAAAATACATAAATTCAGGTTACTAGCTCAAGTATAAACAGTTACATTAAGTTATATGTCAAAATTACATATAATACTGCTTCAGATATTTACCCATACTTTGCCATTGTCTAGGAAAATGTAGCAGTTGATAGGATGAGAATGCTTATTTTTATTTACATTAGACCTGTCGCAATAATTACTATACTTGAACTGGAACAATGTTTTTGGGGGTTTCATGTATACATTTTCTTTGCACTACTGAGAAATCTTCATTTTTTTGGCCTATATAATAAGTTTTAAGTCATAAAAGGTTGAATTAATAACTGCTATGGCCCATTACAGATGCAAACTAAGTACTAAAGTGTTTTAATTTGGCCATTTATTGCAGCATTTTTTAACAATATTTTACATTTAGAATAGTTTTTGTGCTATAAATCTGCTTTTGGGTTTTCAGTGGCATGAATTTGTTTCAGTATTATCGTCTATCCTCTATCATTTCTTCAGCAATATACCGTACTTCAAACTTTATTATTGTGACAGGCCTAATGTACGTTTTATTTGTCCTATATAAATACAAAAATGTAAGAAAAAGGAAAGGTATGGAAATTCAAACTTAAAATTCTGTAGCTGTGACTGTTGAAGAGAAACTTTAGACACAGTGATAAAAATATTGAGCAATACACCCTTGATCTAAAAAGTGATAAAGTGGTTCAATATTTTTCTATAAACCATATTTAAAAAAAAAAAAAAGAAAAAGAAATGATAGTTAACAAAAACAGGAAAAATATGACCTAAGTGCATGTTTAACTATTTGAAATGCTTTGCGGTATTAACCCTTACTTTTCAATCAAATCCACAATTTATTTTCCTTGTCACACTGGAAAAGCCCGTTCTCTCCTGCATGTGCTTGATTAAATAAACTGCCTTTAAGCTCAGGTCGGCTTTTTACTCTCCTTTTGTTTGAAGCGTAGCCTTGGGCAATGTTTGAATATAAAAAAGTTCTGCCAGAGTAATTTAAAAGTGACAATGTAATCTCAGTTATATTGCAAGTGAAAAATGGCCACTTTATTCAGAGTGCGAGCGGCGATATTCAAGGTCATTGCCTATATGTGAATTTGGCGTAGTGAATTTGCTGTGTGAATGGTTGGCCCTGCGGCTATGAGGTCACGTTCAGCACTTTACATAGTGGGAACTGCGGTGGGACAGATAAGGGGAGAGTTCTCGCTTTAAACCGGGGCAAAACATCCTCTCCCCCGTTTTTATGGAGGCCTATGTCCACACTTTTTTTTTTAGTCCCCTACACCTCTGCGTGGATTTTCATCGCCTTCAAAGGTAAACCCGATTTGTGTGCGACCAGGCCCAAAGCTCCCAAAGGCCAGCACTTTTTGATCCTCAGACCTTTTCATGAACGCTAAGCCTATTTCTCGGCCTGTTTGGAGAATGAGTGGTGCTGCGGGCGTGGTGTGCATGCATGTGAGCGTGTGCGTGTGTGTGTGTGTTCATTGCATTCTGGGTTTCTTCAGAGGTCGCAGATCAGATCTTGGGGTGACCTTAACTTTGACTTACAGAGGCGATAATAATGATACTATGTTTTTGCTTGGAAACACCATTACTGTAGTTTTTTCCATATCTCTCCCGAGCTTGACCCTTGGTGAAGGAGAGAGTTGAACATATTGTTCATGTGTTTTCACTGCAGTGGGTGCAAAACAGCGAGTCATATTTAATGCACTAAATGTGCCTTCCAAGCTTCCATCTGTACAACATAGAGCAGAGAAGAACTGCTTTCACAGTGATGACATACAGAGGGATTCAATGCTTCCAAATGTTTTTGCATGTATTTGTTAACTGTGGTATGGGTGCACCCAGGGGTAAGCAGAATGACGGAGGGGGTGCACGAGGAGCATTTTGTTAAAAAAATACAAAAATAAATTGCCATCTTGTCTTTTAAAATGTTTTGATTATTTGGATCTTCCAGGCCTGCTTTAAACTTTTACATGTAGAATAGAATAGAATAGAAAGCCTTTATTGTCATTATACAGTTTAATGAAATTCAGACTTCATGTGATGCCCATGCTTTGATATAATTAAAACTGGTCATTCAAAGTCTCAGGTTTGACTACAGCATATTATATGAAGAAAAACATATAAAATGAAAGAGGCATAAAAGATAATGTTGAAATTGTTGAGGCTTTGAGCAACAATTTGTTCAAATTGACAATTACTTTTGTAGTTTTTGAAGCTGTCTGTAGTGCAGCATTGTGTATGTGTTTGTTGATTGTGTATGGGGTGAATAATATGCGGTCAGTGCCTCACTTCAGTGCGCTCTTCCCCTTCTCCTCCCCCCTCTCTCCCCCTCTCTCCCTCTCTCTCTGCTCCTGTGTCGCCAGCAGCAGGTTCCCCACGGAGCCCCATCAATAAGACCACCCTGACTCTCATCAGTGTGATCAGCTGTGCCCTGGGCCTGGTGTACGCCTCTCATCTGGCCTGCAGCCTGTCAGTGCGGGTGATCCTCCACGTGCCCGAACACCTCATTGCCGACGGTGAGCTTTACACACACACTCACAGCAGGAGAGCCCTCATCCACGGGGGGCTGAGCTGGCATTTTTCTCGTCCTCTCTGAGGAACAGAGCCACTGCATGTGACAGTATTTCTCTGAGCGCTCTTTTGTGCTTGAGCCTGTAATTTGAACTGCATTCACAAACACAAAAACACAAACGTAAATGACAGGTCCAACTTTCCCTCTCCCTCCTCCTCCCTTCCTCCCTGAGTCTTCCCCAGAGGGACAAGACAGATGTGGCCTCAAAGCATCACAGCACAACCAGGCCAGAGTCAGGACAGAACTGGTCTGTGAACTTCTGATCTGTGAAGTACGGTTCCAAATGTCCCTGTGTTAACTCATCACTGTGTAAAATGAATTTGAGACTAAGTCAGGACAAAAAAGCCAATCATGTTTTTTGTATAACGTGTTAGTTTGGAATTGCAACAAAATGAAGTTTGTTTTTTGTTTTGTTTTTTCAAATTGTCTTAGAAGGACAACTGGTGGTGCACATGGTACTCAAGACTTTTCAACATGCTGAATTAACTTTTTTCAGTTTGTTTTTTGGCACTAAATTTAAAATGAAAAATCTTTGCTCTGTAGTTCTTCAAAGAAGGAAAGCAAGAAAGGAGTTATGATTGTTTTTTTTTATTTTCTAACCAATTTTCTACCCAATCTACTTCTGTGTGTTTTTCTTAGTTATTACACACTTTATAGATCATTTAAATATTGCCCAGAATACATTGATTTGTGTTGATAGTACTTGATGTGAAAATCCCTCATTTTCTCAGTTGTATTTGAGAGTAACAAACTCCTCAGCGGTAGAAGCCTCGCAGGTCTGTGGTGCTGCTCCATGATGGACTATGACTGGCCTCACTCGTCGATCATCTCTCGCTGTGATTTGATTCGGAGTCGCGCTTCATTCCTACGCCATCACAACTCTGCCAGGATCATATTAAGATTCCAGGGAAGGTCCGGGGAGGGAACTTTGAAAGGAGAGATGAAAGATGGCCAATTCGCCTGTTGAATTACAAAACTGTAATCGATTTAGAATGTTTCCATAAATGTCTCCACAATCTCATCAGACTTGATTTGATGTCATGGCGAATCGGATGAAAATCTGGATCCCGCCAACTGGGGAAAAAGCCTATTAATGCCAGCAGCTGCGCATGTGTCTCCCTCATATGGCCAGGAAAATGTGCTAAAACACAATGTTACGCCTTTATAATGATCGCAATTACAGTGAGTCTTGTTTAGAGAAAACATTAGCAGCCTCAAATGTGTCTGTCTAAGTACTTTTCTAACCTGATTTGCCAGTGTGACTGAAGTGAATGAATAATGGACAATTATAAAGCACTTGGAGAAGCTTATAAATTGTAAGATAAATTTTAACCAATATTGGAAGACTCATTCTTATACTAAATTGCAGAAAAGAAAATACAAATTTAAAAATGATTCTAAAATGCCCTGTATGCAATGGAGCAAAATCTGTCTTGTGCCAGTAGATATATAAGCAGCTCTTGATGTCAGAATAAGTCTGCTGTGTACTGTGTACATTAGGGCTGGGTATCATTAAAAAGCTGCTGATACGGTACATACCTTGATACACAGGCCATGATATCTTGATACAGTGCACTTTCACTTCGATTATATATTTCAAATCGATTTAATACGGTTAAAAAAATAATTGCTAAATCATTGTTGTGAAACTAAATGTCTTTGTTAAACCACTTCTTGTGCAAAGTTAATATGAAACACGAACATTTTAATCATCAAAACAGTGAATATGTCAGATGTGTCGCATAAACATGTTTCCTTCCTCTAAACAAGCAACAAAACTGGTGATGCAACAATAATTTAGTAAAATATACCAAAAATATACTCTTGGCGATATATTGCAGCCCACAATATCAATACTGTCTCATCATATCAAGTCTAATTATCAAGTCTAATTAAGAAGTGCACGGTTAGCATGTTAGTTCTTGTTAGTTTTATTGTATATATGTATATTTTACAGCAAAACTACTCTGGTCTCTAAAAGTTGCAAAAAGCACACTCATGATCGTAGTGTGTAAGATAAAAGGAATAACTTGGACCACTGCAAGCCATTACTAGTTCTGTAGTTCACATTTTCAAGATGGTAAAAATCAGGTACAGTATCTAACTATTACAATGGGAGATGAAGGTGTAAATGTAAATGTAAGGTAGAGCTGTTTAATGTCATACTGTAGAACATTCCAGGCAGAGCAATGACGTAGCCATAGAAACAAGTATTTGACAGACCCTCCACTAGAAAAGATACACAATGCACCTTTAATGAAACATTGTATAAATGGTAAAGCACAATTCCCATCCACTAATATAGTAGGTTTGGATGATTGTTTTACAGAGAATAGGAAACAGAAAGTAAAAGCCAAGTGTAAATAATGTAAGAACGGTGATGTTAAAGGTTTCATGACTTGCACTGGACCTGCACACTGTCAGTTTGCGCCCAGTATGTGAGAGCATCAAAGAGGTTGGCACTAAGTAGGCCACACACGCCCTGCCAACAGCTCATTAAATATGCCTGGGTTAGCAGAGCCCACCGAGGCCCGTGTTTGCAAATGGATAGGAGTTTGTTCAGTGGCTTGTGCGGCTAATGCACACTGATCAGACAACTCATGACAGTACACCTGCTGTGTCCAGGCCCCGCTCTCCTGGTGCTGCAGCCTTTTGTTTACAACGCTTGGCTAAACACATGAAACTCAAACATTTAACCCCAAAAAAAGAGATTCTGTGTTACATTTTAAGAACTTTTAACCATGTTTGTAATGGTTTAGACAATTCCTTTTTCTCTCCCTTAAACATAGACAAACTTTATTGACCCACAAGGGAAATTATTTAGACACAGTAGCTCACACATGACAATATATTATAATAAGAAAGACTAAAAATATAAATGGTAATAATAAATTCTAAATAAGTAGCAAAGATAGCAAGAGACTGGTGTCAAATAAGGTATAATTATATAAATGCACATGTACAAGTAAATATACAATACAAATATATATCAGTTATTTACTGGAGGTCATTAGGAAAAAAAACATTGCAAAGATGATATAATGATTGACAGGACATACCTTCCCAATTATCTCACTGAACGGATTTTGTTTTGGTTTCACCCACCCCTGTCCCCGTTCACTGCTCTATATTTTCTTGTAATTCTGTGAAAGACAAGATTCTGAGTCATAAACAGTTGCTCAAAATTTAAAAACAAAGTGAAACATAAATATCACCATCTGTTCAGCACTTTTAAACAGTAAGTCACTGTGTCATTTCTATTATGAAGTGATTCAATATACAAGAAAATGATGATCTACACATATAATAGCTAACCACTAAATACCGAAGACAGCAATATGTCAATTTTGTGTAATAATGAGTATTACTGTACTCATTCTGTATTATGATTCTTCGCAGTCTTATAAAATTAATTTGATTGATTTGTATAGTGCAACTGCATTATTATTTGCTGCTTGTTGAGTTTTTGTCCAAATACAATTAACTTACTGACTGGAATATTGCTGCTATTTGTACAGGCCAATAAGGTAACAATAAATCATCAGCAGAGTCAATATTTTTCAGTGTACGGTACATTTCTGCTAATATTGTACGTCTGTGGTCCTTGTCTTGTGTGCAGGCTCACGGTTCATCTTGCTCCAGGGCAGTCAGTTGGATGCGTCTGATTGGCTGAACCCGGCTCAGATCTTGTTGTATTACCAGCAGAACGCCAGCGGGCCCTGGCTCAATGAGCTGTGTGGACGCCGCCTGCTTGACCCTTGCGAGCACCAGTGTGACCCAGACACAGGTCAGAGCCAACACTCTTATTATTCTATTATTATTAACATTTTGTACTTTTCTACCCTTGAGCAGCATTGTGTTTTTGTTATTTTTGTTAGGAGTGAATTAGTTAGTTCTGTTAGTTAGGTTAGGAGGGAGCAAAATATTATATTATGCTAGAGTTTTGCTATAAACTTTCTGAATGGTATTTACACACACATAGTGAGGTTAGCTGGGTACAATATTCTCATATTTTAAAGATGCCATCAATAAGATTGATTTGATTTTCTTTGACCAGTAGATGGCAGATGTGTTTCTTCTGTCAGGCCAAACAAGGCAAACTATACTCTACTTATTATTGACTTATATGCTATAACTGGGGCTATACTGATTTTTTTCTTTTTCAGCAGCTTTAGGGGAAAAATAATACAATTTTTGTAAACTGTGTTGCCCAGTGTATGATAGAAAAATTTTCAGCTGATATCCAGAAGTCATTTTCAATCTGAAGGTACTAGAGAATATAGAAATGGTCCAGATGATGAACTTTTAAACCTTTTTATTTTTTATCATGGACCACTCCAGACAATTGAGTGACTACTCCGTAAAAAAATACATACATGCATACTAATTTCATGGCAGTACAGAAATAAAGCTGTTTTTCCCATTGGACCTGAGCACCTGCTGCCTCTCCCCGCTAATACACCTCAGCTAATTAAAATCAGTTAAAAGGACAGCTCTGGTAATGGGAAAGATGGATGAGATGTTAATCAGTATGGCTCACTCCACTCCTTCAGTTTAGTTTAGTCAAGGCTAATGCACTTCTACCTTTCCTGTTATAAATAGATTACAAGTATTGATTGATAACCTGCAATAGACTTTGAAAATCTGTCCCAAAGCTTTTGTCAAGACATTGGTAAACACTTTTGTAGAGGTGTGAAAACACTGATTCAGCATCAGTTTTAGTCATGTTTTCATGTCTAATGGATATGGCCGGTAAAGAGATGCTTTCAAATCATGAGGTGAAAATGTGAACTGGTCTTAAAAAATGTCAAAACTCATAAAATAACATAGCTGAATGGTGCATAAAACATTTGAAAGTCTGTTGTTGAGAAATCTAAACATATTGAATGTCTAAATGTAGAAAATGGGCTTTGCCTGATAATAAAGTAAAATTGTTTTTCACTAGCACAGATAGAATATAGGATTAAAATTAAACCACTATGTGCTGTCTCCATCTACTTTTTGTTTTGTTTTTTTGTCCATGAACGTGGACGTATCAGACTCACTGTTAATTGTTTCTACAGATGTTTTCTTATCCTTCTGATGTTGCAATTGACACATTTTATAACTTGAGTGCAGTGAGTGAAGGTGAAAGTATTTTTATATTTGGGGCGGCAATAGCTCAGTTGGTAGAGTGTCTCGACATAAACATCATGGGTTGAGCGGTCCTATCCACTGACCCACAGGTTGGCTGGTGTGATTCCAGCTCCCACAAATGAATGCTGTCATTGTGTTTTTGGCCCACCTCGTCCCCCAGTGTCTGCGTACACTGTGTATGAGTGTGTGTGTGAATGGGTGAGTTGTTCCTTGTTGTAAAACGCTTTGAGTGCCTTGAAAGTGGAAAAGTGCTATAGAGAAAATGTGACCATTTATTTTTGAGCAGTTAAATCGCTTGTATTGAATAAATGCAATATATATCAGTTTAATCACATGTCACATTTCAGGCAAAGTCATAACATCTCCACAGAAACAAGCAGGTGGCAGACCCCCACTAGAAAACATAATGCATCTTTAAGCACTGTACACATTGTCTAAATATTTTCTAAACCCAATGTCAAACATAGAACAAAACTTGATACTTGATTGTCTACTTCCCCCTTAAACAGCTGCTGATTCATCTGAACTCCTTGTGCCCATGACAGATCTAGCTAAACCTGTAGAGTTACATGTTAACAGGCCCAGGTCAGAGGACAGTCCCCTGTGCCCCTGGCCCTCCATCACCCTCTGCTCCCTACAGCCTTCTGTCACAAAGTCAATAACCCAACTGACAAGTACACATTGCCTGTATCTACCTGCGTACTGTTCGTATCTAATAACTGTTGCCATTCAAAAAAACAATCTCAAAATCAATTCTTTCTCTCTCCACACTCTGAATACATCACAAAAGGAGAAAGATGGAAGCAGTCATGTAAATATGGTTTGAGTACAATCTGTATGTCTCCATTCTCATAGCAGCGCTGCTTATGAAATTGTAAATAGACTTGGTGGGCTGAATAGCAAAACAACACATTGATGTAAAATGCAGTCCGGGTACAGAAAAAAGCTGAAGCTTCGTTCTAATGGCAAGAGCAGTGAGAGAGTACTCCTGATTGATGAGAGAGAAACATGATGCATTCTGGGTAAAAATCAGACTCCAAGTATCCCAGAAAATCAATGGCAAGTGAGAGGGTGTTTCTCAAAACAAACTTGATATGGCATACATTTAAAGTATACTGCAGTAGTGTGGTTATGGCCAATGTTTGAATGAGGAGGAAAAGATTCTCGCTTTTGAAGAGAGTTTTGGAGACTCTTAAGCATACATAAGTTGGCGTGTACTTGAAAGCAGCAGAATTTCCAGTTCAGATGAATAGGGACAGTAGGAATATAGAGTTTGCACTTTAGATGTAATATATTTGGATGTTGTAATGAAGGCTTTTGTAATTTCTCTTTTATAACCAATATTATTTACTTCCATATTCTTATAGAAGTTCATAAAGAGCTTTTATTTTGTACAGCTGAACTAGTTTAACTCAAAAGCGTTTGTGACGTACATGTGCTTTTGCCTAACACCACACATGGAATGGTGTCATGCCACTAATTTGAGATGCCACTGTGTCTGTGCCATGGAAACAAAACACTTCCAAAAATAACCTTTTATTTGAGGAAAGTTAAAAGTTGCATTACACAAACTAACAACATGCCTACTTTACTGAGTGTGTCCAGTAAATAGCAAAATAAATAAGAGTTAAGTTCAGTTGCAGTTTTTGGTCAGACTTTATGTACTATATTTGACATGTAATTATATTGTAGTATTAGTTAAGGTTACAGAGGCCACGTTGTTCTTGTTGTTTTTCTTGCATCGTTCTTAAAGGTACATTGTGTCCGTCAGCTACTTTACTCCATGGAAAAGTTATTGCTTTGTCTGGAATGTTTCACAGTATGGTATTAAACCTTGTTATCTTCACGGAGACCAAACCAGACCAAGTTACAGGTCAGATCTGTGGAGAAGTAACCTCGCTTCTCCACAAATCTGACCTGTAACTTGGTCTGGTTTGTTTTTATATATATATTTTTAAGCTTTAAAACCATCCGTAATTTAATAAATGTAAGGCAGAGCTGTTTAATATTAGCTTGATTCATCAGCCGGTTTCACTTCATGGAAACTGTCTGACCTCGCAGCATTAGAATTCGTTCGCTCGACAGGTACTTTTTTCATTTAACCAATCGTTGCTAATTGGCCGTGACGTACGTAATGCGCCACTAACAGGGCTAACTGGTATATTAAGCTTTTCCCAAATCCTGTAGGAAGAAGGGCAATAACGTCTTTCCCCTTGATAAAATTCACCAAACATTCTCTTTGTTCCGGCTTTAAATCCTCGATCTTGGAAATCGTTGCGACCCGTCAAGTGTATTCTGATTCCTGACCTAGTCGCAAGACAAAAATGAAATTGAGCAGAGGAACTAGGCAGCGCCAGCCTGGCTAGTTTAATGTCATACTGTACAATATTCTGGGCAGAACAATGATATAGTCATAGAAACAAGCAGGTGACAGACCCTCGAGCAGAAAAGTTACACTATGCACCTTTAATGAAAAATGTACATTGTATTAATGGTCCACTAATCCACTAATACAGTAGGTCTGGATGATTGCTTTACTCTTGCGACAATGAAGGATTTGAAACACTATATGATGTCTGTTGAAATGTTTATTATTAACTCAGAATAATATTAGGAACAGCGACCGTGAAAAGTATTCCACAGTTTAGAATTTCAAAAATACCCAATGAAAAACCGGTGTCTTCCTTTTGTGCATCAATTATTCAGCAGCCTCACCCTCCCCTGAGAGCGAATTCAGAGGGCTCAAAATTAATATAAAAGTGCGGCCAGCGTCCCATCCCATCTTTGGAATAATTCGGAAATTAGCCACCCTACACCTCTGCTCACCTCTCCACATGATATATGGAGGAGCAGAGCGGGTGGTAACGATATTGTATTTTTCATAGGCCTGCATTGGTAATGAAAGCGCTCAGTGTGTACGTCTACTGCGGCGGTGTGGGTTGCTGGCGGATTGCTGAGGTGCTATAGATAGCTGAAAATCCAATCCTCTTCGCAGCCCTAGGAGATACTGATGAAAACCAAGATGGGCTACGACAACATCATGACTGCTCCTCCAAGACATTCAAAAAGGGAAGATGCAACTCTCGTGTTCCCTCTACGAACTTATCCGCCACTGTACGGTACTTGCATGTGATACAAACAACTCATGTTCTTACTCCAGAGACAAACATTCCAACAGCATAACACTCCAACTTGATTAATGACGAGCTGAATAATTCGGTGTAAAACAAGTGACATAACCAGTGCTAATGGAAATGCTAGCTTCCTGCCCACACAAGCTTAGGCAGGGAGGGTGTTTTTCTAAAGCATTTGGAATACTCGTTTGAAAGGTGGTGAAAAGGAAGGTGTGGGCACGAGCAGGTATTCAAATTTGCTATGAATTCGGTTGCCAGGCTAATTGTGTAGAGCTACAGGAAATGCAAGAAGAATGCAGATTTCTTTCAATATTTTTTCACAATATCTTCAACTTTTACTTTAACACTTTATTAGGAGGAGCAATTGTTTCGCAGTCAGTGATAACAAACATTCATGCAACCACACAGTTTATGACAATGGACAAGGACATAAGAATAAAAAAAATATAAATGAAAAAGATTATATAAATGCGTTAATATATTTCAAAATGATTGAAATTATTGACTTACATTCACT